GTAGCTTTGTGCTTGATTACAAACAAACATTAATCATAAAGGTTTCAACCTTAGAATGAAAACTCAACCTTACAACGCTAAATATTATCTTCGAGAACTATACTGTAAATATACCTAATGCTTTATTTTCTTGAACCCAACTTCAGACAAATTAGTATTTCTTGTTCTAAAACTAAGCTTTATAACGTATAGTACTTCGTTGAAAACCTAATATTTTCACCTTGAACCTTTCTAATACTCCCTTTTCTAGAGCTAAGCCTATAAGAGCCTTAAATTATTCAATTTTATTATTAAATTCCTAGAAGGTCTAAAAGTTTCCATTTTAACATAAAATTCATTATATACTTTATATACTTAATACTTCGTTACTTAGAGCTAAAAACGTAGTAAACCCAATATTTCTCTTAACAATTACACTTCCCATGGACTGAATCTATAGAAGACCTAATATTTCCTTTTCTAAAATTAAACATTAAAATAATCTAGCACTTTCTCTTCTGGTATTAAACACCTAATACTAAATGTCCCCATAAATTCTCTATTAGAACTCAACTTCCTCTTTTAGATCAAATCTTCTTGAATATCTGTCTTATAACTGAATCCGATAGGTTTTAGTGATTATTTTCCTAAGATTATGTCTCCAGCAAACATGTATTACACATATTCCTTTACAGAAATATTCTGAAGAATATTTGTTTAGTTATATAAAAAGTCATTTCTCATTCTTAAAATATATTTCTACTTGTATATGTATTTTGTATCAAACCTGTGTTTGAAACCTGAAGGAGTTTCTTTTAATTGTTTTGATTATCTATTCATAGTTTATAATAGAAATGAATAATCTTGGATTGTAAATACAATTTATTAATCAAAGTTGATTGGCTTTGAGTTTAAACAATCAGATTTTTTGCAAAAAATGATTTTTTATTAGGTTCAATACTATGAAGACTAAGATGGTTAGTTAATTAAAACAAATTTAATATGTATCCAGTTAAATGAATCTGTGACACTTCGACGAGTAGGTTTTTTTATAGCAGTTGATGCAAAGAACACTGATTGGTGTGAATTAAAAAAATATCTTGA